CTCACTAAAACAGTGTTTTACCAGTGATAATTTTTTGTTTATCTGGAAAGGTCCTTTTTTCACAAAGTCCTGTTTCGTAGAATAAATGGCTTAGTGCCAACCATTTTTTTACCGAAAAAAGTCACTTAAATAGTTTTGCACTCAGCCATTTAATTATCTTTGAATTCTGTAATACCAGATTCTATAAATTTTAGTACCAAAATTTACTTTTTGATTATATCAAACCCCATTCAGCTTGAGTGTGAACATTACTATGCTAGCCAGAAATCCCAAATCCCAATAAAAGGCTAACCACAAGCTACCTGAGTGCTATTTAGGCTATAACCAAGGTGTTATTTCAGCAAACCGGAACGGCTGTCTCCCATGATTCACTAGCTCGCACTTTGTCAAGAACCAAATTATCAAGCACAACCTTAAAAAGACTTGCAAATTGTTCATGTACAGTATGCAATGCTTCTCAATTACTGTTTAAAGAATAATAAAAAGTAACTTGTATTTACCATGAAGTACAGGCATCAATTTACAGAAATTTTCTAAAAGCTCATCAGCTTGCTGCAGCTTTTGCTGGCTTATCTGGTCACTCACAAGAATTGCTAAAGCTGTAACCAACATAGTGTAATGAAGGAAGTAATGGTCTGGAAGGACACCTTTCAAGACTGGTACAGAGTAGTGGAGAAGCCAATTCCTGTATTCTGTAGCTGAGAATAGAAAATAGGTAACAACAATTGCTTTGGTTCTCAGGGAACAGATCATTAGCAACCTTTAGATTTGACGTTGAGTGTGGGTGTGGAATTTCGAGACAATTGTATCCCCTGAAATATAACTCTTTCCTGTTGCTGACTTAAACACATAATTGTTAAGGATAAGATTTGTATGACAAGTGATTATAGGAGGCACATGAATTTGGTTTGAAAACTCGTACTCATACTCAATCTAGTAGTTGTAGTCCAATCTAAAGGCTGCTATTAACTTGTGCACAACAAGCCAGCAAGCAACACAGTGAAAATGACTGTAGTTAGCAGTGTTATATAATAACTAAATCAATCAAGTACCTTTCCATGTACCACGTTCTGCAAGACTTCTTGGACAACGAGTTATAATATCAGGAACTTTGATGGAGAGCAATCTTTTATTTAACAGGGCAATCTAAAACAAAAAAGATGTTTTGATAATACATCTCTTTAAACCAGAAGTTGATCAAACTGGCAATTTATACAGTCACAATGTGTCCTAAAAATGGAGCTGAGTCAGATGTTTGGTAGTTTTGGTTGCTGACCAGTAAATTTGCAGTGCTATCGTATAAAACAAATAGACCTGACCACATTTTTTCATGGTCTGCACTCTGACAGACCATGCAAATTATGTCATAACAAGTCTTAAACCTTGCAGTGTAACCAATCACCTATTCCACTTGAGTATTGAACATGTTAAGACATCATTCATTTTCTATGGTCTGTAAGAGAGTAAACCATGGGAAAATAGTTGATTGGTTAAATAAAATACAAACATGTACATAAAGTGCACCTTTGAACCAAGGAAGAATTCCTCTTTTCTGTTTTCTGCATTCAACCACAGATTTGTTAATGACTTGGTAACCCCAAGGCAAACTGAATGCATCCAGTCAATCACAAATCCCTTCACAAGGTCGAAAGGCTTAAACAGCAAGAACACAGAAGCACCTTTTATTCCATTGACCTGCAATAATTTAAAAAAGATAGTAATTAATGAGAATACATTATAAATTTGGAAAGTTGATATTATCGCCTATACACTCTGCAGATCTTCGCAGCAAAGTATAATTAAAATATTATTACATATTACTCCAAAAATTTATTTTCCAAGAGGTCCACATCTTCCAAACCTTGGTTGGATATTCACATTTTGTTGTTGAACTATTGTTTGTATCCTTCAAACATACATGTACTTCTTCCAAATTAAGTAGCACAATTCAAGTAGTCCCAAGTCTGTAATGGTGTGTTGGAAGGCTATGGTGAAAAACATCTAATACATGAAGATGTAAGAGAACCATTATATAACATGATAACAAATAGGACTGCCTATTACATGTAGGTTACGCATATAACACACCGGTTTTCCAGTCTGAATAACTCTGCGGACTGATTCAACCACAGCCTTATGAGTTCGGAGCACCATATCAGTGGTATAAGGCCAAACTCTATGTAATCCACCAATGCCGACTGTCTTTCCTTTATCTTCACACACTGAACAACCTTGTTCTCCATTGTATTGTTTCATGTTGGCCATCAGAGCTTTCCCAGGAAGATCTGAAGATGACAGCAGAAAAGTTGCTCTAATATTTTGTTCTCCCACAGTCGTAGTAACTTTGAGTCCTGATTAGCAAAAAGAAGTAAATGTGTTTATTTGTCAAAAAAGGTAACAAACTTTCTGTAAATGATGTACTGCCATGCAGTTCCAACTTAATTACCATAAAAAAAATTATTGTGATGTCTTACTTTACAGCTAGCTGTATCTAATAGGTATATAGCTTATTTTCAACATTGATGTAAAGAAACTTACCATTTTGATACAGGTCACTGATGCTCTCAATAATCGGCCTGCAGAAAGTCTGCATATTTGGCTTTTTCTTTGAACACCAAAGACCAGCAAGGAACATATATTTTCTTGAACACCTGTGTGCATGCGGACAGATTGGTCATTAAGGTCATGCTCACTCAACTTCAACCATAAATGAAAACTAAAACACAACTGGTGGTAGTACTGCAGATTTTATGCTTATGAGAATCAAAAACGAGTTGTAATCAAGCAACTTTCCCTTCATTACCTTATCCTCGGGGGAAGTTCATTAATGACCAGAAAAATTGGCCAGAAATTCTGCTTATTTGAGGACTTGAACGGCGCAACGCCATCAGTATTGAACGAGAAAGAGATGTTCAGTGGGTTATCCTTGCTAAGGAAGCCACCAGGCTGCATGAGTTTACGGTATTCTTGTCCACTGAATACATCACAGATGTCATCATTGTTAAGAAAATCCCTGTCAAAACGATATCCAAGTAGTTTGATGAACTCTGCATCTGTTTAATCATATAAGCAGAATGATATCATTAACATCAATAAACAGTTACTTGTATTACATTTGGTGTTTGTGATATCTGGAATAATCAAGATTGAGGTAACAATTAAGTGGTACCACTTGCTCAGTCAAAGACAGGAATTGACGATTGTGCCATGTATTTA